TCGTCCTATGGGCTTAGCCCAGGACAGGTACAACAGGTATTCACTCAGAGGGGGGTAGTTACCCATTTACATGTCAAAAAGCAACAAACAGTGGGCGGGTGGGGGAAGTATACTGAGAAGTATATAATGAGAACTGCTACCAATGGTGGCCTATTTAGTTTATTAAGAAATACATATTTGTAGCTTTTTTTTTATCTGCAGTAGGAAATGCAGAGAGTAGCGACAGGGCTGGTCCAACCTGATCTGTAAAGTGATCTAACTAAGTGCTATTCATTTTCTTGACGGGGAAGTGCAGTGTAAATGGGGGGGCTTATATGCATTTGAAAAGCAATATAAATCACACAGTTCGTATACAATAGGCATTAAAAGCACCGTCGATAACCATTGCTCTTCTCCTATTCAAACCAAAAGAGAAAATGCAGATATTACACTCTGAAAAGAAAGGGTAGACATATCTGTACTCTTAGTGCCAAGTAGCTAAATAAATTCTCCAAATCAAACCAAATCAAACCAAGATATCTTGGGTATTCACTCAGAGGGGGGTCGGTGAACCGGGCAGAGTTTTTCGCCGGTCAACGTGTGTGAAAGTTTAAAGTTTATCATCTAAATTTGCCGAAACAAGTTTAATATTCTGAAAGCCAAGACTTTGTTTATTTGAAATCAGATGAAAACAAACTGTAACGGTCCCATTTTATTCATATTCCGAGTCATAAAGACTTTATTTAAAATAAACATTTATAACTAGTTTAGGTTGTTTGAGAGGTACAGCTACCATTCTTTAATTAGATGTTTGATAAGTGCATGCAGATCACATAAAACACGTACACAGATACATTATTTTGTATTTTTATTAAATTCGACAATGTCAATTTCACTTTCCACTATGTCCACCGTTGTTTTTCACAACCAATGGCAGAACTTTATTGAGGCCTGTAATTAGTCAACTGCAGGTCTCTTGAAGTCTTTTTCTTCCAAAAAGCTTGTGACAAGATGTTATTGCTCTTGGGGCATTAAAAACAAGATTTTAACTTTAGTTTTTTATATAATATCTGCATTGTCTCTTGTGAAAAACTAAGTCTTAGTTTGGCCATAGTTATTTAATATATAGCGCCATCTCCTGGTTAAACCCTGAAATTGGAGAATAGTGGGAGGGCCTAACATTCCTGAATACTGGTCTTTGGCAGGTCTTAGGCAGGTAACTGGCTGGCAGTAGGCAGGAAGCTGTATGCTGGGGTCCAAAATAAGAGGCTCCATCTGTAGCCCCCTTGCCAGCGATTCTCTCTCTAGTTTAGCAAACTCAGCCCGACTCAGCCCTGTTTGTTGGCCCCGATAGAACCACGATTTTGTCGGGCCAGAAAAGAGGTGAAAAAGTACCCCCGGGCCGGAACTAGGCATAGTGGAAACGCAACCAAAAGCGGGCCCGGCACGACACGGCATGCTTAAACCGCGCTCCGCGCCATGGTGGAAATGCGCCATAAGAAGAGGATTAAACCTGTTTCCTTGATGTTTGTCTCTGGGGAATGGGCCGGTAGGTCTACATAGACCGGTTGCTATAATATAGCTTTTGATCTTGGCGTCGGGGGTCTCAATAGCGCCATAGAGTCCCCTATCGGTTGGGGCCCTTGGGGAACTGTTGGACCACCGCCGGGCACAGCCAAATCCAGCCTCTCCTCCTGGCTGGCTGGAGAAGAAGGTTGCACAGCCACGGCCACGGATACAGCTTCACTTGTGGAGCTAGATGGCAATGATGGTGGTGAGGCAGGTGAGCTATCGTTAGCCTCCGGTTCCGGCTGCCGCTGCACGTCAACATTGCTAACGTTAGCGCTCGATTTCGAGGACGATGTATGACAAAAAAAACGGTCTAGTTTTGTCAGTTTAGCTGTTACATCTCCTTGTTCTCTCTTGTCCTTTCTCTTTTGAGCGCTGCTCTTGTGCTTTGGTTTGCTGTACATTATAAATGCAAGCTATTAGATTTTTTATAATGCTACCGAACTTGCTGCTGCTAGCTACAGTACAGTACAGGTTGATTAAACGGTTCGCTCGTCACGCAAGGTATCACATGACATGAAAGGGAGCTAGGTCATTGGACAGACAAATTACAAATTAATTTAGGTTGCTTGGTTACTTCGAAGACTGCGTGAACCAATCAATGCCATTGGGGCCCCAATATTAAAAAAAATATATAAACTCTTTTTTATTTTTTTATTTCGCATGGGCCCCTTGCTGGCTCTGGGCCCCGGTGCGTTGCACCGGCTGCACCGTCGATAGTTACGCCACTGGAAACAGGTCTTTATGTAACTCTTTGAGTGAGAAATGTGTGTGCCTCAGGAGAAAAGGCAGATCATGTAATTGATCATTTTAACAGCAGGGATGCATTCACAAGGATGTAGCTTCCAACCCACGTTTAGAGAAGCTACATCATTATGCAATTTGTAATCTTGCTGGAAGAGCAATAAAAGGAACATGAAATACTCAGAGTTTCCCACAGGACTCTGAGACTATGGTGGGCTTACCTTGGACCCTCAAGAGGGACAGATTCATTATGGTTGGTGTCGCTGCTCTGATGTTACTAATGTAAGGTGAGGATTACACATTGGACCAGCTGCTAACGGTTATCACTTTACTATTAATGTCATTATGTTGGTATGTCAATCAGGTGTATTTAAACCCAAAATAACCTGATATCCATAATTTTAAATAGAATAAGAATAGTCTTCAATATCTGTATTTGTTTGGGTTGCACCTGGTGCAGCTGTGTCGCAATGAAAGTCAAGCCAAAGAGCAACACTAGGAATGCTTTTAACGTGAAAGAGCAGCACAAGAGATCTGAAGTTACCATCACACTTGATTTAACTGAACCAAGGCTGGCTCCAAACTTGTCACGGGGGAAGGAAGTCAGGACCCAAAAGCAGAAAGAGAGAGGAGGCAGGTATAAAAGCCTAAACAAAAAGTTAAAGTTAAAAGATTGTTAAAGGCCGTACCAATAAAAATGAAAGAGCAGGCCAGGTAAAACAAAAGTAGAAAAACATGAAAATCCAGAATAATACAGACAGGAAATAGTACTGCGACAGACTGAACCAAACCAGGGAAACATGATGATGAACTGACAGAGAACACTATGAGGGTTTCTCATTTCTCTAATTTCCCCTCCTCGACTCCTCGGTCCTCCGGTAGTGACCCGGAAATGGATTTCAGCGCGCCATGTTGAAGGACATCTCATTTCTCTAAATGCACATCGAGGATCGAGCATCGAGCGTCGAGGAGGCTCTCTGGAGGAGCTATAACCGAGGATACACTGATGGATCCTCCACGGATGTATTTCCGGCAACAGAGATGTTTCAAAGAGTTGTGACGCACGGCCGAACTTATCTCAGCCAATCACAGCTCTGCATGCATCCCCTGGATATTATTGTATTAACTGCTTTCATTGGGACGCGATGTTTACAGTGAGAACAGCTGTGAGGTCCGTGCAGAAAGCAGAGCAGTGTGTATAATATATATCACTCAGTATAACAGGCCTACTCTCTGTATTTGCTTTAGTTTAGTAGATATCTACAAACAAAGAGTCGATATTTTTCTAAAACCATTTAGTGCTTCACATAATAAAATACACAATGGCTGTATCCTGATATATATTATATGCTTTAGGAGCTGTAGGTGCGTGTGGTGCAGTGTGTAGGTGGTACAGTGTGTAGGTGTGTGTGTGTGTGTGTGTGTGTGTGTGTGTGTGTGTGTGTGTGTGTGTGTGTGTGTGTGTGTGTGTGTGTGTGTGTGTGTGTGTGTGTGTGTGTGTGTGTGTGTGTGTGTGTGTGTGTGCGTAGATGCGGCGGACAGACAGGTCTCAGTTGATTTGGTGTCCTATGCTTACCTTTAATACTTAATACCGTAATTTCATTTCCTCATTGTAGCGACCAGAGAGGTGAGGGGGGGGATATATCCAGTCTCTGATAGTGTTACGTAATAAATCGAGTGCTCTCATACTTGTTTGATTCTGAAATTATTTATAGTATATATCATCGACCTGGGCTGCCACACCAGCAGCCACGGTGCTGCAACTGAGGCTAAACTTCAAGGTTGATGAGGGAGGGGTAAATGTTGTCAGATTGAGGGGTTCGAGCTTTCAATTTTAAGGACCACCCTAATGCAGATGAATTATATGGTAAATGTCTGACTAGTATTATATGGCAAATCTAGTAATAGAAAAACAATCATTTCCAACCCATGGATCTGACCCTGGGAGCCTAGCAGCAAGAACAACCATTAAAGTGATTTTAAGCTAAAGAAGAAGAATTTTATAATCACCTTGGAAATATTAAATGTTTCATTGCATTGTTTCTTTATTTTCCACACAAAAATAAATTCAGTACACAAGCACAGTTCTTTGTGTATAAAAGCCGTAACCAGGGTAACCCAGGTCCATATTCTGTTTTCATTTAAGAAATCCGGCATCATCTAGTTCAGCCTTTACTAAATTGACCTTAGCTTTTGAGTTTTCAATGGCTTTGTAGTGGGAATATCTATGTTTTGAGATAACATTTAAAACAAAATTCCTGTGGAAATTCCTGGTAGCAAGTAATGTGTTTTAGGAACGTATTGTATTGATTCTCAAGTGTTTATATAAGGTTTTTCTTATCTATTAGAATAAGCATTTATTTGAATAGATTCATTGTCCTCCCATAGCTGATATAAAAAAGGAGGCAGTGATGATACACCTCCGTCTTCAGCTTGATATTGACTGGGATTTGAGGAGCCTTCAGAATGACTCATCTTTAGATAAATAAGTGTATTGCTTGCCCTGTTTATCATAATTGATGCTTCAGAATAGATGTGTACAATGTGTTTTGTTCATTTTCTGTTTCCCTTTGTCCTCGGTCTCCAGCTTCTGTGTCTCTGCTCATTGATATTTCCATCACATTGACAACATTAACTCATTCTGTCTTCTGATGTAAAAATTAAGACTTTTAAAACTATTTTTTTCTATTCTTGTTTCTTTACTGCAGCTCCCCATCCTTGCCTCTTCTGTTGTCAGTCTCTACTTCCTGGAGCTGACGGATATTTTCCAGCCGGTGCATTCTGGGTACAGCTGTAATGACCGCAGTCTGTCTCTGCCCTACATCCTGCCCAGACAGGAAGTCTGCACGCTGCCTCTGCTCTTCAGCTTGGCCTTCGCTGCTCCCACCGCCACTGTAAGTAACCTCTTAGTAATATCTGACAGTGATTATACATGTGTGGGCTCTGGTGTCCACAGACGGGCTGTTTCTAAAAGCTGGTATAGTACCTCTTCTGAATTGTTCAAATGTCTTATTTCATTTATCTACTTCCTCTTGGCCATATCTATCGGTACGCGGAAGACACCCAGCTCTATTTGTCCTCCAACTGGACCTCCATCCTCCCTCCCACCTCGCTCTCTGATTGCTTACAGGAAATCAAATCCTGGTTCTCCAACAACTTCTTTAAGCCTAACAGTGATAAAACCGAGGTCCTCCTCATTGGCACCAAATCCACCCTTACCAAACCTGACAGTCCCCCCCTCCCCTCAGGTTAAGAGCTGGGTGTCATCCTCAACAGCACACTTTCCTTCAAAACTCACATCAGTGATGTCATTCGGTCTGCTTATTTCCATATACGTAACATCATCCTCTGTTCTTATTGATTATATTGTCTAGTTTTTCTGCTGATGTTTTTTTTTTTTTTTTAATCTTGTATGGCGACCTTGAGAGCCTTGAAAGGCGCCTATATAAGTCAAATATGATATTAATATTATTATTATTATTATTATGCACAAATGTCATAGAAGAAGTGGTTTCCTACATGTTGCAATGTTCCCATGACTGACCACACTGAGAGAGTACAACACTAAGCTGCATGTTTTAAACATTAATACTGGATGGAAAAAAAGCAGCCATTTGAAATTGAAATTCATTCAAACTAACTGCCTGAGTGAAATTGCCTACCGAGCTCTTAGTAATGACTTCCAATCTGTTCTCAATTCACTGTCAAGGTGTTGTAGCAGCAGACAAACTCAGCTGTACAATAAATGTAGAGTCTAGGACACATAAACTCTAATTTAATGTAATTCTTAGAAACTCTTCCTCCGGGGCTTTTTAACTAATGTATCAAACAAATGCTAACTGCTAGCAGAGCCTAAACAATACTTGTTTATTTTTTTACCAGTGTGAAGTTATATTCTACACAGCTGGAATTGCAAGGGTCAAATGGTTTCTTTTACACCCCTAAACTCAAAGAGGAAATCCAGTCTTTAAATGTATAGATAGGGTCTTACAAAAGGGATACAAGTTTTAAGGATGCCTTGAATATGTTTTCTTAAATAATTGGGAACAAGATACGAACGCATGTTCACTTTTGCTGTGAATTCTCCTCGCTGCGGAACTAATAAAGGATATCTGATTCTTTTTTCTGATAAACTTGTCAAAAGGGGATTAACTAAACGATTGGGACACTCTTGATAAGACCTCAAACATATCTTAGGTGGAATCAGGGCGAGGGGTTAGTGGATTAGGAGTTGAAGGCAAGAGTGAAAAGGTGAGTTTTGAGGGATTGTTTGAATGATTTGAGAGTGTTGGCGGATCTGACGTGGCTGGGGAGGGAGTTCCAGAGTGATGGGGAGGCTGCTGCGAAGGCCCTGTCACCCCAGGTCCGGAGCTTTGTCCTGATGGGCTGCAGTAGGTTAGCTTCAGCAGACCTGAGGCGACGGGTGGGGCTGTGTCGTTGGATGAGGTCACAGAGGTAGGGGGGGGCAAGGTTGTTGAGGGCTTTGAAAGTGAAAAGTATGATTTTAAAGTCCATGCAGTGTTTGATGGGGAGCCAGTGGAGGTCATGGAAGATAGGGGTGATGTGGTTGGAGCGTCGGGTGGAGGTGAGCAAGCAGGTTAAGGATGGCAACCATCTCACATTAATGCATAAAAGAAACAGATAAGATTCAGAAAAAACGAACATTTACTTCAAGTTTAACCTTTTAGAGTTTTTTATTAATTGCAATGAGTCCTTTGGTAAAAGAAATTAATAAAAATGAGCCTCCAAATAAAATATGTTATTATTATTATTTATGTTTTCCACTGCAGGATGTTTGACTGGATCTCTTTTAGGCTCCGTTTACACTGAGACAAAAACTAAAACGAACAGAATTCGATATCAAAAAAGTATTCCGTCCACACGGAATCGGCTCAAGAAACGTGTCCGTCCACACGAGACTGCTCGACCCGCTGGAGACGCTGTAGTACATATGCCGGGCCTGTAAGTGGCGCCACAAAATACACCAAAAGCAGCGAAGAAGACCCCCCGAGCATGGTTGCCATGGTTGCCTGGTTGCCCTTCTGTTTATTCTCCGCGGTGGATTTATCACAATGTAGTTCATGTAGTTCTCCATGTCCACTTGTAGCTGATGGTTGTGGTAGAGGAGCTGTAGATTTGACGTGGGGGTGAGCAGCAGAGGTGGGGAGAGGCAGGGCTCTGGCTGTTTCGGCGGCCTCTGTTTCTCTTTTTCTCCCTCCCCGAGGCGAGCGTGTGCTCCTGCTGTAAAAGGCAGGTGCACCGCACCCACTGCCACTAACTCTAAGCCTGGCTCCCGAGCAGGACGTTCTCCCCGGTAGTCCACCAGCAGATGAAAAACACCCACCTCTCCGCCTCTTCCAAGGGACGAGGGAACCGTGCGTGGGGGTCTGCTGGAGGCTCCTGCTGGGTGCACTGTCCTGCGAGATACCGGGACCTGGCTCGAAACACTCGGAACACTGTTGTTGTTGTTGGCGAAACACATCAGCAATAACGCGGGTGACGCGGGGGTGAGCAGGAGAGGTGGGGAGAGGCGGGGCTATGGCGTATAGGGCGTACACACGGAGCCGTTTGGCCCCCCAGAGCGCTCCGTCCGCAGATCTACCCACCTTGGGACCCGTTATCGTTTGAGGGCTCCGTTTCCGCGGTTCCGTTACGGCCTCGTGTGAACGAACCGTCCATATGATAGAGAACTGTAGCGGATACAACCCGTTCCGTCTCTGTGTAAACGTGGCCTTAGTAATCTTGATGTGTCCTTTTCTTCTTCTATGGTTTAATTTGGACCGGCAGTACAATTAGTACTGTTCTCTAAAGATTTCAATTTGCCAACTACAATATAAACTATAATGCACATAACAACAATGATTGAACCGCACATTGATTCCTATTTTCTTCTGCTAATGTTGAGGGAGTAAGGTTAACATTTGGATGGACACCTGCCTGTATTCCACCATTGCCAAAACTTCGAAAGTAAAAAATAAGGAGATTTTTTTTTTGGTCGCTACTCCATTAGTTAGCTGACAAATCATCTTTGACTAGGAGGAATCCTGCTGTGGCAGTCCAGTCTCTGTAAAATTGATGCAAATTAAAAATGTTATTGCACATAAAGCAGAATCTAAATGCACTTTTTATACCAGAGAGACACATGGTTTACCTTCATTTCTTGTGTTTAACTTCATTTTGCTGCAGCTTTTCACCATTAAGATTAAATAACGTGTGTTGCTTTTGAAGCAGGACGTAGGTTGCAGATGATCTTGTCGTCTCCCTTGTGTTTGATTGACATCTCTTCCTTTTCTCACATCAAAACAAAAATCCCCACACTTATGAGTCGGGACAGTAAGATATCAGCAACAATAAATGATCCAGTAATATTTATTGCATCTGGCGGATCATTCAGACTGATGTATGTGGTGATCTGCCCTTCCAACATCCTTTCTGTGTCTTTGTGTGCAGATTCTGATCGGAGAGGCCATTCTGTACTGCTATCTGTCCCGGAGGTCAGCAGCCACTCAGACGGAGGCCAACATCAACGCTGCAGGCTGTAATTTCAACTCCTACATCCGCAGGGCTGTACGCTTCATAGGTGGGAGGACACATGTTAAACACACAGCTGCTTAGATGCATGTTTTCTAACTGAGCCACAGAAACACAAATAACAGTTTGCAGTAACAAATGTTCTGTCAGAGTTTGAGTGGATACTGGATAATAACCAGAGTTGGGAGGATTACTTTAAAAGTGTTTTCTGTTTCAATTACTAGTTACCTGTAATAAAGTAATCAGTAATGTAATCTGTTTACCTCACTATTAAAGTAATGTATCCTGATACCTACTTTCATTTACTTTTGGATTACCTCAATATTACATTACAAGTTACTTGTTAGACGCTTTTATCCAAAGCGACTTACATACTCCATACTGTGAGCAATCCCCACAGGAGCAATTTGGGGTGAAGTGTCTCAGGGACACAACGACATGCTGACTGCAGTGGGGTTTGAACCTGTGCTCCTCTGATCCGAACACCAACGGACTAGTCCACTGTGCCACACGCCTCAATATCAGAGATGCAAATAAAAACAATAGAAAATAAATATCAATAAGAGATTTTTACTAATTATATTGTGATAATGGAAAAAATAAGACAACACAACAATGTGACATTAGAAAACAAGAAACCAAGAAATCCTGTATCAAAAATGTCTTCTCAGTGTTTTTCTGAGTGAAAAACATGCCTTTCACCGGGCAAATTCAGGCAGTACGCCTAACTTTTCCAAGTTAGAAAACATTTATTTTCATTTACAAAGCAAACATAAAATATGTTGCCTTTAAGAAGTAAAGATAACATTTTGTTTTATTACACATTTTAAGAACATCGACTATTTTTAAACAAATAAGGGGTTACTCCCCAAGCCTGACAATATGACCTTAGAAAAGAAGAAACAAAGATATTTAGGATCAGAAATGATTTTATTGATAGGAAAACCTGTCTTTCATGAAGCATATTCAGGCAGTAGCCTATACACCAACACTGAAACACATGAGCACATACTACAGTTTCAAAAAGCAGAAATACAATCTGAGCTGACAGAAAATGCTCTGTTTTAGTTTAATACACACAGTTAAGCTCAAACACACTATTTTATGAACATATAGGTTCACCTGCTGAATTAAAAACAGAACAAATGAAGCAAAGAAAGTGAAAACCATAAAGCAGATTCAGGCAGTAGGCGTATAGATTCACTCTTAAGAGTATTACCCTACAGAACAGTACAGTTTACAGAGAAGAGAGAACATCTGATCCTTTACAAAAACACTATATGCTCTGTTTAGTTTTCTGCTAGTAATCCTACATTTTTGTAAGTATACAGTAGCAGTATTCTGATTAGACCTTTTTAATTTATTTTATTGTTAGGAAATACAGTTTTTTTTTTTGTATCCTGATCACGATATCCATGTAATCTGTTACTCCCCAAGCCTGATCCTAACAAAATCTTAAAGGGCCCATGTCATGGCCATTTCCACTGATCATAATTCCATTGTTGAGGTCTACTAGAATAAATTTATATTGTGCATTTTTCCAAACTCACATTGGTTTCTCATACAGCATCTCTGTAAACTACATGTATTCACTGAATTTCACTCTCTGCCTTTAACGGCTCGTTGTAGCTCCAATAGCTCCAGCCCCCACCCTCCCTTTGAGCACAGTGTGCTCTGATTGGTCGGGACGTTGTGAATCGCGCTGAGCTCCGTGGAGGTGTTGTTTCCTTGTTTAGGATACACAGCGAAACACAGCCAAACTCATCCTGAGCACACACAAAGTCACAGCCGAAGTAAAAACGTGTGGCTTGATATTGAGTAAGAAAAAGGTTGATAAACGCTGTGAGAATGGGTCTGCAGAGAGAATGGGTCTGCAGAGAGAATGGGTCTGCAGAGAGAATTTTGCCGCGATCCCAACTGTCTGTTATCAGCCTGCAGCCAGGGAGGAGAAATCAGCTGAGCTGCCTGCTCCCTGCACACAGATGTGTGTGTGAGGAAGTCCGTGGATTGGTCAATTTGGACCAATCAGCGGGGGCTTAACGTAACGGCTCCGCGGACGTAACGTAACGGCTCCACGGATTGGTCCATTTCGTTCCGGGTACGGCTTGACATCATGCCGTACCCGGAACGAAATGGAAGAATCAAATGGACAATGACATATCTCCAACGAGGCGTTTTGGGGAGGTATTTTCTGTGTTAGAGTTTTACTCGCTACAGGGTGTACTTTGAGGGTTAGTGACTCTGCACACCGTTTACATGCATAAAAACCTTCATAACACACAAGGGGACGGGTAATAACCGGAAAAGCATGACATAGGCCCTTTAACATTTCAAATTAGAACAAGGTTATTGTATATATATTGTACTAATGCAGTGTAAAATGTTTTGCTTCCCACAGGTGTCCATATCTTTGGCCTGTGTGTGACAGCGCTGATAACGGACATCCTCCAGCTGTCCACCGGGCAGCACACCCCTACTGGCTGGATGTGTGTAAGCCCAACCTGACCCACATTAACATGTCCACCTGTGATGAGGCTTTTATTCTGGAGGACATCTGCTCTGGACAAGACCCCGGGCTCATCAACGCTGGGAGGTGAGGCTCAGTGTCACTGTGGGAGGGAACTAGAGTGTCAGAGGACGTGTGGGTTTATTGGTATTTAAGTTATGAAAGGTAGAAAAAAGCTATAAACTACAGTATGCGTCATCACTGTCTCTGATGGATGTTTTACCATGATGACATTATGAACAAAATATATAGAGTGGTTTAGGAATGGTAAACTCGGAAATGAGTGAGCATTTTAGCACTTCCAGTTCCCTCGTGTTGAAGTTTTTTGAAGGAGATTTTGGTTAGATTCCCAAAATAGGGACTATGATTAGAACAAGCTTACAAGATTCTCCAGTTTTGTTGTATGACATATAATACGTCACTAAATACCCCACTGGTGAATGTCTAAGGCTTTTATGTGTCTTTAAAACAGCGGATGCTAACAAGTGGCTAAATGAGACCACTAAACGCCATCACACCAAACAGTTTTAATGATAATAAAAGTGGTGTTAATATGTGGAGATAATCCTGCTGAATCAAACGTGTTAGTATCATACTGCTAACATGTGTTTGCAAAGTTACAAATCATCACAGCAAACATTAGCCACCTTTAGCCGTAGCCTACAATTTGCTTTAGTTCTGGTAATTGCATTTAAACCTAAACTATTGTAAAAATGTTGTTAATATGAAGGGTTTATCCTGCTGAACATTACGTGTTAGTGTCATAAGTGTGGGGCCTAGGTATAAAACTCACGGCTCGCACAGCTTTATTACCTGCTGCTATAGTGGCCTGGTGCACGTTTGAATTATAGATGCCACTGAAGGTGGACACTGTGGGGGATGGGCTGCGTTGGTTTGACCCCTGTCTTTAAGCAACACTGAGCAAGACATTGTGTATCTACGCAAAGAATGTGCATGTTAATGTTAGCCGCTATATCTAGCAACAGATACTGCACGGGGCTCTACAGTTAAACCATTATTTGTAGCAGCTCCACAATGCTAACACTCATTAACAGTCTCTCAAGTGTTTTTGGAAACACTGTGCTAAAGGAATGATGCTTCGACTAAAAGCCTGCTCTCCTCTCACTAAACTGTGAATGCCACTTCAACTGTGGGGACAAGAGATGTCATAAACTAACATTTAGAGTTCAATGCCAATATAAGTGAAATTCCATGATTCTTAATACCAATTCACACCACGGTGAAAACAGCACAATATATCCACAATTTTTTTGTTTTGCTTAGGGTTTTGTTACAAAGTTAAGCACTGCCACATTAACACATTAGCCATGTCATTTTCATTCTACAAGAGTTCATTTAAACACATCATGTTACAATTGACTTTGTTATGCCCAATACTAATCTTTACTGAATAGAGCTTGAGTGCACCAAACTAGAAATGGTTATTGACATACACTGCAGTATCAGCATGACCTATACAACTTTTGTTATATCTTAGCTAAACACACACATCAGAGTTGTTTCCCTCCTTTTACCCTTCAGATACTGCATCTATTAAACACCACCTGCTAGGGCACACACACACACACACACACACACACACACACACACACACACACACACACACACACACACACACACACACACACACACACACACACACACACACACGCACCAACACACACACACACACACACACACACACACACCACACACAACACACACACACACACACACACACACACACACACACACACACACACACGTTTCTTTGAAAGTCACCTCCATGTTTCAGATGAATATTCACATGGACCTTAGCTGTCTGAATATGATAATTGTGTCTGTTTTCTTTTTTTTTTAAAGGAAGTCATTCCCCTCCCAGCATGCAACTCTGGCTGCTTTCGCTGCGGTCTACATCTCAGTAAGTGCTTATTATACACTCTCTCAACATCTGGCCACAGAAGGTACAGACAGGTCTTTTCCACATATTTAGAAATCTAAATAAATGTGAATTAAGAACAAGGTGTAGGATTACATTTCTTATATCAGCTTTAACAGAGGGCTGGTTGTGTGTTTCAGATGTACTTCAACGCGGTGTTGACGGACTCGGCCAAGCTGCTGAAACCTCTGCTCGTCTTCTCCTTCATCATGCTCGCCATCCTGGCCGGCCTCACCAGGATCATCCAGTTCAGGAACCATCCTGTGGACGTGTACTGCGGCTGGCTGCTGGGAGCTGCCATCGCAGTTTATCTGGTAACACCCTCACAGGATGTTTCGTTGGAAGTTTTTTGTGTAGCTTAAATAGCAGAAAATAACATGAACTCTTACGGAGCTTACGGCGTGCATTGAAGCTTCAACGTTTCTGCCCATTCACTTTGAATGGGGTGACGTCACGCTTCGCCGAACTGCATTGTGCACACAATGCACAAAAGTAGAGCAATGTTCTACTTTTGAAGCTTCGACGGAAGCGTCAGCCAATCGAATCATATGCCAGTACAAGCTCTAGCCAATCAAACCGCTGCTTGTGTGTCCGGGGCGGGAGATTCATGTGATTGGTTGTTGGTCTAGCTTCAGACATGCCCGCCGGCAAGCTTCAACGCACGCCGCCGTGTGTAAGCTCCGTTACAGATACACATTTCCACTGCGTTGAGATTGCCAACAAGGCGGAAGCATCTCATAACTTAGCAGATAATGAAGGACATGAAGAGCCATTGTGCTCTGAACTAAATAGGAGTAGCCGTGTCATAGTGAAGACAGGGATGTTGCACTATAAATGATCATCGCTAATTAAATGTGAGGGTTGAAACTGCATCCATAGCAACGTAACTTTCTCATTGCTCATTTCGTGTGGATGTTGCTCTGGAGGTAGACACTCTCGCTGGACTGCTTTTCTCTTTTTGTTCATTTATTATTCATGAGAAACACGACAGCGTCAGGTGAGAAGAGTGGTACATATGTGAATAGAATCAAAGAGGACATATTCTGCAAATGTTCAGCTTCTTATCAGTATGTAGAGTAGGGATGGGTACCGAGCTCCGGTATTAAAGGGGCCCCGGGGCTGAATTATTAAAGACCGTGGTACCGTTAAGCTCTGACTATATCGGTCTTTTTATCGGTACTGGAGACATTTAAAAATGATATGCCATATGTATTATTGCTACATAAACATTATATTGCAGTTTTAGTTTCGCCAACACCTTTTCTAATTTGAAATAAGACTACAAAATGCGTCTATGATGTATTTTCGATCTTTCCAATCCAGACGAGAGATCTCTCTCTCCCGTCTGTGTGTGAGGGGGCGGGGCAGTTTACACACACACAGCTGCTACATGCAGCAACACACACACACGGAGGAGATGGCGGAGAGAAGCGCTCCGAAGTGTAGTTAAATGTTACCCGTCTCGATGTGGACAATGCACGTTGCCAAAAATGCAATAAGAGTTTAGCATGTAAGGGCGGTAACACGAGCAATTTGTCTAAACATTTAGCAAAAGTGCACCACATTCAGACGGAGAAATGCACCAGGTTCGACTGTCTTTCTAGTAGCTCTGTAGCCCCATCCACGAGTAACGTTTCCACGTCAGCTATATTATGTATACCTTAATCTTCCTCCAGAAGAACCGTTAGGCCTTTTGCAGCATACCTGTATGCCCCACCTGTGTTGCTCTGTACCACTGTGTGTTTGCAGTAAATACTTGTTTTTTGTTTGTTTTTTACAGTTCTGTAAGTTCACATTATTTACAAGTTGTTTAGTTAATTTACCTTTTTTTTTTCTTCAAAAGAACCGATAAGAGTACCGTTAAAGGACCGGATCGATAAGCGGTATCGATAAAAGTATTAGTACCGTTAAAACCTTAACGATACCCATCCCTAATGTAGTGTCTCTCATGTGACATGTCTCCATGCTTTAAAGGGCCCATGTCATGCTTTTCCGGTTATTACCCGTCCCCTTGTGTGTTATGAAGGTTTTTATGCATGTAAACGGTGTGCAGAGTCACAAACCCTCAAAGTACACCCTGTAGCGAGTAAAACTCTAACACAGAAAATACCTCCCCAAAACGCCTCGTTGGAGATACGTCATTGTCCATTTGAGTCTTCCATTTCGTTCTGGGTACGGCATGATGTCATGCCGTACCCAGAACGAAATGGACCAATCCGTGGAGCCGGCGGAGCCGTTACGTTAAGCCCCCGCTGATTGGTCCAAATTGACCAATCCACGGACTTCCTCACACACACATCTGTGGGCAGGGAGCAGGCAGCTCAGCTGATTTCTCCTCCCTGGCTGCAGGCTGATAACAGACAGTTGGGATCGCGGCGAAATTCTCTCTGCAGACCCATTCTCACAGCGTTTATCAACCTTTTTCTTACTCAATATCAAGCCACACTTATTGTTTTTACTTCGGCTGTGACTTTGTGTGTGCTCAGGATGAGTTTGGCTGTGTTTCGCTATGTATCCTAAACAAGGAAACAACACCTCCACGGAGCTCAGCGCGATTCACAACGTCCTGACCAATCAGAGCACACTGTGCTCACAGGGAGGGTGGGGGCTGGAGCTATTGGAGCTACAACGAGCCGTTAAAGGCAGAGAGTGAAATTCAGTGAATACACGTAGTTTACAGAGATGCTGTATGAGAAACCAATGTGAGTTTGGAAAAATGCACAATATAAATCTATTCTAGTAGACCTCAACAATGGAATTATGATCAGTGGAAATGGCCATGACATGGGCCCTTTAATGTTCTAAAAGCTCTTTAAAGGAGAGGTGTCATGGCCATTTCCACTGATGATAATTACATTGTTGAGGTATACTAAAATAGATTTATACTGTGCAATTTTCCAAACTCACATTGGTGTCGCATACAGCATCTCTGTAAAGTATGTGTATTCAGCAGTATTCACTCTCTCCACTAAACGGCTCGTTGGAGCTCTTGCCCCCCCCCTCCCTGTGAGCCTAGTGTGCTCCGATTGGTCAACTCGGCCACTCTGTTCTGATTAGTCAACCACCAGAGAGGCTCCGCCCATGTCTAACAGTGCTTTTTTCGGCTCGCTCTCAGCGGAACAACAGTCTTATAATGGCCTCGGTACAGCCGTATATTTTATACGCTAACTAACCGAACTGTACCTACAACTGTTGTTATAGAAGAGTAAGTTATTTTTACCTGTAATAAACTACTACTGTTTGATGAGAAATCAAATCATGGTTTGCTATATATGAATGATATGTTATAGGAGCAAATAATTCAGGGAAGAAGGGATAGGCCTACTAAGTATTTCCATCAAACTTTATTTTTAGAAATGTACAAAATGAACATGCGTAAATATACATATATACACTGTATATCATCCATTTCTCCCCTTATAGGCGTTTTCGGCATCTTGCCTATCGCAGCTTTGTAAGCGGCTGCCGGGGCTTTTTAGGATGAGCCATCAGAGTGGGTCATCCCGTGTGTGTGTTGTCCGCCAGATACGCCAGGAGTTTCCTGATCTGGCTCGACAAAATCAAATGCAAATCACAAAATATTAGAGAAACTTAGTTGTTTTAGATTCGTTAGTAGTAGTTGTGGTAGGAGTGTGTATCTATCTAATCTATCTATCTAATCAACACAGTTAGCTTGCCAGCTAATATGCTAACCTACGTTTGCTAGTTGTTCAGTGTAATATGCTATAGGCTACTATACTATGAACAACAGATAGTGGTTCATATTAGGCTATCAAGAACATGTTTACAATTGCAATCTTATACGGGTAGTCTGCTACGTTCATTGTAGCTGGCATAACAACAATGTTTCCCGAGAAAACTCATGTCTAGCTCCGTTGTTTAGCTCGGTAGCATACACGCTAGGAACGCCAGCTATAATGTAATTACGTTTCGCGACTGACCGTACGGTAAATCACCTGGAGTATACTGTCTATGAGTATTTCGTGTGTGAATGCAGACATTCTCCTGCTATGAGATACATGTATGTAAGGCCATCTGCTGATATTAGAGTTGATATATGGAAACGCTAGCAACTTAGTTAGCACAGTTAGCACTGTGTCAATGGCTTAGCAGTCCGACACACGTTTACACATTTAAACAGTCGTGGTAGATACCTTGTTTGGGAGACATTCCTAACGAAATGAAGTGCCAATCACAAAATATTATTGAAACTTAGTCGTTTTATGTTCGTCAGCTTGCCAGCTGGATTACAATGCTAACCTACGTTTGCTAGTTGTTCAGTGTAATATGCTATAGGCTACTATACTATACTATACTATACTATACTATACTATACTATGAACAACAGATAGTGGTTCATATTAGGCTATCAAGAACATGTTTACAATTGCAATCTTATACGGGTAGTCTGCTACATTCATTGTAGCTGGCATAACAACAATGTTTTCCCGAGCAAACTCATGTCTAGCTCCGTTGTTTAGCTCGGTAGCATACACGCTAGGAACGCCAGCTATAATGTAATTACGTTTCGCGACTGACCGTACGGTAAATCACCCGGAGTATACTGTCTATGAGTATTTAGTGTGTGAATGCAGACATTCTCCTGCTATGAGATACATGTATGTAAGGCCATCTGCTGATATTAGAGTTGATATATGGAAACGCTAGCAACTTAGTTAGCACAGTTAGCACTGTGTCAATGGCTTAGCATTCCGACACACGTTTACACATTTAAACAGTCGTGGTAGATACCTTGTTTGATAAATACACAAATAACAATGCAAACTTACAGGTTGTGTACCCGAATATTCCCCTGCTCCAAACAGTCCAAACAAACTAGGAATAGCATCGTCCTTCAGTTTCAAATGCTGTGCATATCCGGCCTCAAACTGGGCAATGTTTTGGAAGCTTTCGTCTGTGAAATGCCGCGCACACAGTAACGTTCTTCGAACCTCTGAAGGAACAGTGTTAAACAGAAATGTCTTCCGTCGGTAGGACAAACAGCTCAGATTTCTCCTCACATTTCAGGAAACAGGTCCTTGGCATTGGCATTACTGGATCGATTGTGAACTGAACCAGAGCTTCCAACAGTAAATGGCAGAGGGTGTGGCCAGCGCCGCTGGGTGTGGCCATAGCTCTTCCGGATTGGTCCATTTTGTTCCAGGTACCGCATGACATCATGCCGTACCCGGAAGAATCAAATGGACAGTGACATATCTCCAACGAGGCGTTTTGGGGAGGTATTTTCTGTGTTAGAGTTTTACTCGCTACAGGGTGTACTTTGAGGGTTTTGACTCTGCACACCGTTTACATGCATACAAACCTTCATAACACACAAGGGGACGGGTAATAACCGGAAAAGCATGACACCTCTCCTTTAAGCGACCTTGAGGTTATGAAAGGCGCTATATAAATTCAAGTTATTATTATTATTATTATTATTTATTTTTCTCATACTGCCTGTGCTGCAGCACCTCTTTTCACCCTCTGTCTGAAACCAGAGCCCAGTCTGCTCTGATTGGTTAGCTGGCCGGCTCTGTTGTGATCTATCACGGCCAACCTGGAGCGCTAGCCATTTGAAGCACAAGTGTTACATAGTGATGTCATAACACTCTTCAGGAAAGGGAAAAAAACCCAAAAGCATAATAGGGCTACTTTGAAATAATACTTGAGCCAGGCTTTTGTTGAACACGTGTTTGCTGAATTACAGTAGATGCTGACGTTAAGATGGTTTTTTCCCTGTTTGTTTAGCAAGTTGTGCTGATACAGACACCGGGCCAGGCGGGCCAGTTCTTTCTGCGGAAACGCAGATCCAAAGAAGACGCACGGCATGTGCTTATATGTGTGAATTTGACCAGAAATAAATGAAATATGAGACTGATCGGCTGAGGTTTGTGTCAGTACTGACAGTACATGTGCTTTAGTCATCAATCAAAATGTATTAGTATAGCCCAATTAAACAAATTACACATGTTCCTCAATAGGCTTTACAGACTGAACAGCATACGCAGTATCAGAAGAAAAAAAAACCAGTACAAACCAGTTGAAGAAAAATGAGTTCTGTATTATTTCAGTGTATTATTTAGTACAATTCTGTGCTGAAAGTAGACATGGATGTTCAACTCAAACCGGTGGATGTTGGCTCAGAATATCTGATGTCTCCCACTCACCATCACCCTACAGCCCACACACACTCAGATACATGTCCAGTATACACACACACACACACACACACACACACACACACACACACACACACACACACACACACACACACACACACACACACACACACACACACACACACACACACACACACACACACACACACACACAGCCCTGTTCAGCTGCCTACGTATTTGTTGTTATGCCTTCTCCTCTTCTGCTCTGGAATATTGTCTCAGCTGATGCAGAATCAGTAACTTCAATTAAAGCATTTTACCAGCGGAGTTCCCTGATACTACATTTGTATTTATTTATTAGGTTTTTATTCAACAAGGACCATGCATAAAATATAAAATACATTCATCTCAAAAAGAAAAGAGATAATACATGCCAGATTTTAGCTTATTTTTTGATTTCATTATCTTTGCTTTTTTATGCCTGTTTTTAAATGCCATTTAATAATGTGTTTATGCTGTATTTATTCTTAAATGTCTTTTGTTTTTATTTTGTAAAGCACTTGGAATTGTCGCGTACTGAAAGGTGCTATATAAATAAAATGTCCTTGCCTTGCCTTATAGCACTTGCTCTATCTGCAGTCCTTGGATACGTACACACTTGACAATCAAAAAACACTTAAAACATGACTTAGTGTCTATCACACTAACAATTATACAACAGATGAAAATACAGATCTATAAAATATAAATACCATTTATACAACTTGAATATTAAAGTTCATTTAAACTGTTGGCACTGATTGCTAAATATCAATTTTCTTGCACCTTGGGAAAAAGAGTGGAAGTCTGTGCACGTTTTGATCTCAGCTGGAACAAATGACAATAGCCGCGTTCACACCAAGTACTTTGCCGTACTTAGTTCCCAGCACTTAGTTCCCAGCTCTTAGTTCCCCTATGGAACTAAGAGCCGATCGCGTTCACACCGGAATAAGTTCCCTGAGGGAAGATTACGCAAATGAGCCGCTGACGTCACTTCGTCTTCTTCTGCTTTGGGTTTACTGGCAGGCCGCAAACAACTTCACGGCGTATACTGCCCATGGATGTATAGATACTGCCACCCGAAGTCCCCGGCCGGAAGTCCCCGGAGTTGGGGACTGGCTTCAGTAGAAGCTGCTGGGACTCTCAGCAGCGACTTACAATAAGTGCATTCGACCAAGAAGATACAAACTTGAAGAAAACAGAATCATATAAGTACATCAGGTTTCATAGAGCCAAAACATTTCAAGTGCTACTCAACTAGCTTTAGATAAGCCAGTCCTTTGTTAGTATATAAGTGCTTTGTTAGTAATTTGGGATTTTTTTTTTTTAAATCCTCTGGAGCAGAGAGAGGATCTGTGGATTATTGTTATTGATTAATGCATCAGTGTTTCTTAGGGTCAAAAACACTAAACTCACAACTTAAAATGAAAGCGTTTAGTTTATTTAAAGTGGACCTATCATGCTATATTTAAATGATATATTGTAGGGCCATACCTATATAAGGTATATTTATATGTTTCTGTTTTCAAAATACCAAACAGATCATGCATTTTAGCCATGCCTCATTTCGCTCTATGTGCTGTTTGCTGTCTACGGGTCTGATTCTGCTGACCACGCCCCCCTGCAGGAGAGGTGAGACGTGCTCTGATCAGCTGCTGGGCTGTCAGAAGAGGGGGAGAAAAAGAGATCTCCGTCCTCCGTGTTTTATTATATAGAGTCGTTATTCATTTGTTTTAAAGCTCAATAAATAACAAAGAAGACCTTTGACCGGCACTTTTCTAATTTTGTCCGGAAGATTTAAACTTTAACGGACATCTTGACCGGCGAAAGAAACTGAAACTGAAACTCTGCCGCGGGGTCCCCTCGTTCCTTGGAAGAGGCGGAGAGGTGGGTGTTTGTCATCTGCTGGTGGACTAACCGGAGAGAATTACAGTGCTTGCCTCGACGGGGAGGGATTGCATTGAATTAAAGCAGCTGGAGCAAACGCTTGCCTCGGGGAGGGAGAAAAAAAGCCACAGCGGAGAATAAACAGAAGGGTAACCATGGTAACTATGGGCGGGAAGTCTTCTTCGCTGCTTTTGTGGCAGACTACAGCGCCACTTACAGGCCTGGCATATGTACTACAGCGTCTCCAGCGCTTTCGAGCGGCAATGGCCGGCCGTGGCCCAACCCCACATTCCCCTGATAGGTGGAGAGTTGGCCCAATAGCCGTAGCGCCACTTCTGTGACGACATAGAAGTGTTCAAATCTGGATCAGTTTTTATCAGATCTGTTGCAGCCCCGTTTTTAGAGATTTGGGTATGGAGGAAAATAGAGAGGGTTGTGTTTTCTGACTGGAAAAAAAATGTGTCCCCCTGGAACACCGGGGACACATATTCATGTATAAAAGACGTACAAAAGTGCATTTTGCATGATAGGTCCCCTTTAATAAAAGAGCACATGTTCAATGTGAAAAGTGACAGTAGATATAGATTAGTTGCAATTTGGTGCTATATATATATATATATATATATATTAAAAAAAATTATAAAATATTATAATCTTTTTTTTTTTTTAAACACCTTGAATTTCAGGGGGGGCGCGGGGCTCCGTTGGCGGGGCGCAGCGCCCCTCCAAGACAATGGTAGGGGAAACACTGTTTTATCTAGAGCAACTTACAATAAGCGCAATAAACCATAAAGATACAAACACAGAACAGCAAGAATCCTGCAAGTATATTTTTTAGTCACATTGGCCATGGTGCAGTGGAAACAGGTTGGTTTTAAGTCTGCGTTGAAAATGTGTTGACTTTCTGCTATCCTGATATCAATGTAGAGCTCATTAAATCCTTTTAGAGCCAGGATAGCAAACAGCTGTTACCTGGGTCCCACTAAAAGTGAAGTAGAAGCGAGGAAGTAGCGAGCCGGTTGGCTGATTGGCCGATTGGCTTATTGACTGAAGTGTATGGTTTGTTGTGGATGTAGGAAGGTCCTGATCCATTCACAGCACATGAGGCCAGTACCACTTACATGTTGGAACAAATTGTAAAGGTAGCACATGTAAAAAAAGTCATTGCACTGACCAGGTAATGTCAGTCGCACAGCACTACTAATAATATTAGCTAACAATCAATTTGAAAATAATCTTAGCTAACTGTCCTTTTATTATATATCCCTTGCCTAAGTAATGATAGTGACAGGTAGAAAAAAACTGTCAATGGGGGAGTTCTTCCCATGTCTGAACAAAGACATACGTTGCCAATCCAATATTTTCGATCCTGTGTTCCTGTGTTAATTACCAGTTTTACTTTTGATAAACCCAAAAAGTTTGTGTTTTAAAAGAAATTCCTCCCTAGTCAGGTGATGGAGTTGAGTGGAAGCCAAAGGTTTTCTGCAGCTCACTTTCTCCAAGTCTCACTGTCTCACTACAGCTCTGTACTGCAATGCCATCGTTTATCAAACCAATTTTGATTTGATTTAAATTCCTTGACTTAATAAACACAATCTGTGTGGTGTGGTTATACATCGGTCAACAACATCACTTGTTGTGCTAACCTCTTTGCTGCATTCTCCTCTGAGTGTGTCTGTGTGTGTACTTGTATGCAGGGTGTGTATGCTGTGGGGAATTTCCAGCCGAGTGAGGATCGGTCTAGAAGTCGAGCACCTACCCCGACCCTCAGAGAGCCCCCCCTCTCCTCCTTACCAAATGTCAGCCAATCAGCACTTAGCAACAGCCACCAAGGTAACACCCTGCCTGACAGGTTTCTCTCAGCATTACAGATATATTGTCGGGTGCGAGTAGAATACAACATATGCCATTGATAATAAATCATAATAAATAAAAGCTAAAGGTTTTATTAACAATAGGCAGTGCAGAAAGAAGAGGAAGCCAATGAGATGAAGGAGGCCAAGTAGAAAAACCTGATGACATGGAGAGTAGCCCAGATCTATTCTGTGGAAGAGGAATATAGGGCAAAGTGCTCAGTCTCCTAGGAAAGACGAGTTGTAAAAACAAAAGCCATCAGGAGTGCTACAGCAAAAACATGCTCTACATGTGGATCATAGCAGTCTAAAAAGAATGATTCTTATTCGTTATGAGCTCTTTGTGACACCAAAGAACAGACAAGTGCACCCATAAGGAACAGGAAGCAGACCATAGCTTGTCAATTGTCCCTTCCTCATATTAAGTTTTTCTTTAAGCACCAGGTTATTTTTTCAATTGCTTTCATTGAGAACAGAGTGGAAGTTAGAGGAGAAGCTTGTCTTTGGTCGTTCAGAAGGAAACTATCATAACAAAGGCAGAAAAGCCCAATTGTTTAAGCTGATCATCTGGGTATACCCTGGATGTTACTATTGGCAAGTGTTGTACATTTATCTCCATAAGCTTATCTTCCTTATCACTTTACGGCTATCTGACTGAGCGGTGAAACTCCTTCAGAATGTGTAAGAGCGAGAACCCTCGATTGGTGTTCAAGATGAAAAAACTGTGTAAAACATATATAAAATAGCCCTAATAGATAGATAAAAGGCAAATCAAATGTTTTTAATGATGAGAACACTCATTTAAAATAATCCCATTTTAACCTTGACATTAGGAGTGTGACTCTCCTTGTTATCCACTTACAGGTCACCACACCCTGGCTCCCAGCCAACCAGAGCCCATCATCACAAGGACCTCCTCCCACACTTTGTCCCTCAACCAACCAGAGCACATCCTGACTCGGAGCGCCTCCTACCGAGAGCCGTCTATGAATATGAAGCGAGCCAGCGCTGACGTGGAGGTGATCACCCCGTCCAGCCCCATGGGCCCCACCGACAACATGATGACCTTCAGCAGCAGCACCCTGCCAAGGTCAGCAGATATCCTGTTTAACTGCCACATGCTTATCCATATGTAAAGGCTTTTTTGCAATGTGCCTTCTTTTTCAGGGACAGAGGACTTCCTTTTATTTTAGCATGGCATTTTATTTAAAGGTCTCCTATTATACTCTTTTTCATCAATATATTATAGGTCTCGGATATATATAAAACATGTCTCTGAAGTGTTTGGCTCGAAATACCAAACAGATCATTGCAGCATCCCATAATCCCCTCTGTTTCAGCCCTGTTTCAAAAGTGCTGATTCTCTGAAGGTTTCCCATTAATCTAATTCCCCTCCTCGTCTTAGTCCCGCCCACAGGAGGAGTCGAGGAGGGGAACCGAGGAGAGAGGAGGGGAAGCAGCAGGCGGTTAGAGAAATGAGAACTCCTCTCCTCTGAGCGGTCATTTTAAAGAGACGTCCATTAATGATGACAGGAGGCACAGCAGCCCTCTGTCTGATGGACAGATGTGTTCATGACCACTTATATATTTACTTTGATTCATTCACAGTGCGGTATGATGAGACAATAATAGGCTACAGATGCGGACATACACACACATACACACACACACACACACACACACACACACACACACACACACACACACACACACACACACACACACACACACACACACACACACACACACACACACACACACACACACACACACACACATATATTTATATAAATAAATACAATTTCAGAATCAAACAAGTATGAGAGCACTCTCATAATAACGTAACACTATCAGAGACTGGATATATACCCCCCCCCCCCCCTCTCTGGTCGCTACAATGGGGAAATGAAATTACGGGCCAAAAGTTGTATTTACAAGTATTAAAAATAAGCAGAGGACACCAAACCAACTGAGACCTGTCTGTCCGCTGCATCTACACACACACCTAACAACCCAACCCTAACCCTTTTTTCATGAAACTTTCAGAGTCTCTTTACACAGAGGGGACACATGTTTATGTATAAAAGACATGAAAAAGTGGATTTTGCATAATAGGTGACCTTTTAGTTAAGTACAGACAAAATTAGCTTGCTACTTATTGTTCCATGATTAAAGCAACTACACTAGTACACGAATCTTGTAGAGGTCTATAGCCAGGACAGACATGGCTTTTTAAGGCAGTTTATTCGAATATAGAAAAATATGAAGTAGCCTCAGAATCACATTAAGGTGGTATGAAATACCTTATTTCATATTAAAAAAGCTATTTTAATCAATCTACTTGAAAATATGCTCTATGAAGCGACTGTAGCTGTCAGATAAATATTTTGTGGCATGGAAACACAAGGTGGTTGCTCTGACGCTGCGTCGATGCTTTCGTCATGCGGGAGTGGGCGTGGTTAAATCTCAACTGGGTGGAAAAATGGGCAGGAGGGATTTCATCATGACTGTCATTCTGCCACACTGCAGCTCCCACTTTACACATTGTACAGCCACTTAGGCACAAGTGCTAACTACTCTAGAAAGAAGCTTTGCTAATTGACAACATCCTGCTGTGGAACTCACATGGTTGTGGTTAGCATTCTGCTATGACGCTTCAATATAATAGCTATGCTGCTGTTTTCTGTGTTATTGATCATGAAGTTTGTTTGCCCCTTTCTCTAGGTCTCACGGAGGCTCCTCATTGGAGGAGGGTCGCAATCCACGTCGTCACGCCGCCATCCACGCATCAATGGATTCAACCAGATCCAAACAGCTGCTCAGCCAATGGAAGAATAAAAACGACAACAGGAAGCTGTCCCTGCAGGTGATGGATGGAATCAGACCTTGCACCTCCTCCTCTCCTCAGAGAAACATGGAGCTGCGCTGCTCCTCTGAGCCTTCTGCCATGGGCCTGGAGGCGGAGCTCCGCGCTGGAACACACCTGCCTTCACTTATCAGCTGTCAGGAGACGGAGCTGCGTGCTGGGGGCCACATCCCAGCTCAGTACATGAAACTAGCGGCAAGCTCTGTTCCTATGACCAATCACAATCACCTGCAACATAACGGCAGCACAGGAATGGCTGGTGGGGCCAGAGTGTCTATCCAATCCCGGCCTGGATCCTCGCAGCTGGTTCACATTCCTGAGGAGGAAAACGTCATGAGCAGGGATCAGGAGAGTGAGTCAGAGGACAGCATGATGGACGGTGGGGGGTCAGTGAGAGAGAAGTGGATGAGAGTGGCCGAGAAGACCACCATCCCCTGCAGGCCGCTCAGTGCTGGAGGACAGCCTCGTCTTATGCAGGTTCATCATTCTTCTTTTCACCAACTTTACCTCTTGTTATCTGTTTGTTTGTTTGTTTGTTTGTCTGTCTTTCTGCCTGCACCAGCAGATAGAATATCAGAAAAGTCTTTACTTTATTTTCAATTCCTCTGTGTGTGTGATACAGACAGAGATATAGAAATGCTGTTTCTAGCCATCACAAATAATACAAATATATCAAAAATAAATACATACATGTATATATACACACCTGTACACCAACGTATATATAAATATGTATATATATATATACATATATATATATATATATATATATATATATATATATATATATATATGTATAAGCTGGTGGCCAGGAGATATGCCTATATTCTCAATGCCTACCTCTAGATTCCTGAATTGTGATTTACCCTAAATCCACAAACCAAATTTGCAATCCACATCCTGTTGGTAATGGATTACAGAGTTATTATTCCTTGTTGACAGGGTGAGCAAATTAACTTCGGGAATACGAATTTTAATCCACAGCTGGTTTGTCAATTGTTAATCCTACAGTTTGTGTTTTGCAGTTGGTTTGTAATGTGTCTGCACTTACAGCGACTCCAAGATCACTAGCCAATTTAAACATTTCAAACATACTGGAACTTTGGTGAAATACAGTATCTCAAGATGAAGACTTTATCCTTGGCCTGAGCTTTTTCAACCATTTGTTGTGCATTCAGATCCAAATGTCTTTCCTAAACTGTATAATTCACTGTCAACCTCTAATTCCAGGTGATAGCCTTATCCAAACAGCAGGGTCTGCTGTACTCTCCTCGGTCGGAGGACGGGGGATCCGTTCGATACAGAGCCCTGACAGACCAGGACCCATCACCGCCGGCTTCCACCACTGGAGCATTGGGAGGAGGAGGTCTGTACTGCTGGTAGTACTATATGTGAAGCATTATGACATCAATAATTGTTATGCTTACCAATCATGACAACCACAGGGAAGATTGGTAGTCTTAAAAGCCCTCCATCCTTGACTTTAGATTCTGTTATTGCAGAACAACATAAAGTAGTATAACACTAAATAGAAGAGTGATTGGGGTTGAATAGGTCACTTTTCTGCCACCATTATCCTGCAACTTTTCTACATTTAAGGCAGATTGCATTTGCTTAAGAGAGCCACCAATGATATGTCTGGTAATATTAAATATTGTGTATTTATCAAACATAGAGTCAAATATGGACATATTCTCTGTGACTTCCCCCTGATGTTTATGAAGAGTGGTTGTGAAGCTCTGTGCCTCAAGCACTGGTATGCTGGGAATAAAGTATATACCTAAGTAATTTAATATTCTAGATGTAGAAGAACGAGTGGGAACTAATTAATGAACACTGTGCCTTTTGAGTTATGGATTTAAACAATCAAGATCATGATTATCATTGCTATTATTGATTGTCATAAGGGTTAGTAGTAGATGATCATTATTGAGTTATTGATTATTTGTCTTGTTCTGTCAGGAGGTTTAGAAAGAAGTGGAAGTATAGTCCGTATCGATGCCCACCCAGAGTCCAGATCAAACAAACCTGTGGTGAAACCTCCGAGCACGGACGGAAGTGGCTCCTGGCGATGGAAACCACCCGATCAGCGGCCATCCCTCCGCCAGTCGCCGTTCCCCCTCGACGACTTGAACAGACACACAGACAGCTGTGATTCGCTAAGGGATGGAGGGTCAGTGGACGGCCGGAGGAGCGTGACAGGAATCGAAATGGAAAGCGATGGGGGAGGAGATGGAGGGGGTGGAGGAACAGGAGAAGGGGGGGAAGAAGGTGTATACACGAACCATCCCCATGTTGTACACCCTTTACATCCCTTACATCCAAATAACCCCAACAACTTTCAGCACCCCAATTTTAACCCCAACAATCCCAATTTTAATAACATTCACCTTAACTTTAACCCTAATTCTGCCAACTTTAACCCTAACTCTGCCAACTTTAACCCTAACTCTGCCAACTTTAACCCTAACTCTGCCAACTTTAACCCTAACTCTGCCAACTTTAACCCAAACTCTGCCAATTTTAATCCTAACTCTGTAAACTTCAACCCAAACTCTGCCAATTTTAATCCTAACTCTGCAAACTTCAACCCTAACTCTGCAAACTTCAACCCTAACTCTGCAAACTTCAACCCTAATTCTGGCAACTTTAACCCCAATTCTGCAAACTTCAACCCTAACTCTGCCAACTACAACCCAAACTCGGGCAACTTTAACCCCAACTCTGGCAACTTTAGCCCCAACTCTGGCAACTTTAGCCCCAACTCTACCAACTCAAACATGACGATACCCCCCCCTGCCAGCTTTGCTCCTCCCTTCCATCCCCACCCTCAGGCCATCACCACCATCAGAGTCACTCCGGTGGATGGAACGGCTGCCAGCAGCGACGGTGGATCGGACTGCCAGTCCGTGGCCTCTTCGAGTTGTGAGTCAACCCTGAGGAGGAAGAGTGGCTCCCACATCATCCATGTCTCAGATCGAGGGCCCACACCCGACCTCCACAATAACCACCGCATCTGTGATGACAGTAACCGTTACGACAACGAAAGCCTTTTTCAGGAAAACTTTCAAAGTTTCCAGGAAAACCCCATCCACCCTAACCATCCCAACCACCCCAGCAGGCAGTTGCAGGGGATGTTTGGGCGTCCCAGCCCAACGCCTCCCCCTACCCTACCCCGCCCCATAATAACTCACACTCCACCACCTACTCTGGGGTTGGCCTACAAAGAATGATACACTTTTTGTTAAAATCATATCCTAAACCTGGAATTTAAAACATGTCCTTCTTGACCAGAACAATATTTAAACAAATATGAGAGCAAGTTTGGTTAAGTCTGTCCACCACCTAGGGTCAGCTATTAGGGAATCGGAAGACCAAAAACATTTAGGACCCAACTGCAACCTGTCACCTGGTCAATAAGGGCACAATATTTGGCCAATTGTGACGCCCAGCAGCTTGCTGACTGAAAATGTGTTATTTCTTTAAAGGAGACGTACCTGAGCTGATCAGGACCTATTTTCAAAAAGTTATGCTTCCCCTTTGGGTCAAAAGCCATAGAGAGTAGGAACACATTTAGCTCGGCCCAGAATCTCCCACTGGCAAATACGACATAACTCTTGGCATTGCTGCTCACAAGAGGGGTAAGTTTGATTCAACATGTTTACTTTTTGTCACTTTTTATTCGTAAATGTGAAAAATGTAGTACACTTGCTTCCTAGGCTCAAAGATAATGGGCTTAGTAAAGTGCTGACCCTTCGACTGGCTCAGTAGCTGTCCCATTGCTCCCTGCCAGCGAGGAAGTCAGCCTAAGAACTGCTATGTCAGCTTTTTATCACAACAACAGTGCAGCGCTCATCCTTTTGTCATACACAGGTGACAATATTAATATATCAACATTACAGGGATCCCACATGTCATCAGATGGACATTTGCATTCAAAACCTGTAAATGTGCTGTGTATGCACATTTGTACATATGAATGTGGGTGGCCACAGTGGAAACTAAACCCACAGTCACAATGAGAATTGTGTCTTGGCTACAAGGTGTCCCTTTTTGGCAATAACAGTATATCCTGGTGGTATTGTGTTTGTGATGAAGAACAATAACATGGGACACAGCTTGTGTTTAAAAGTAGTTCAACAAGCGCTCTGTTTTTTACATGCTGTGTGTTATAGATGTGCACTGTATAAACTGTGTCTGTGTAGTAACTGTACTGTACATTGACACATGCAGCATGTGAGTCTTCTGAACCAACTTAGAGCATACACAAGAACTTTCTGTTTGGTTCATTTTCACCACGTCCCCCAGCATTGCAGTATTACAATTAAAGTAAAAGAAAAAGGGATGATATTGTGAGGAAATGGTTTTCTATGTCAAAAGATAGGGTTTTAGTTATATTCAAAAAAGTTAGTATTTTATGAGAATAGTCAGGATTTTACAAAAATACATGGCAAAATGTTACAATTTAAAAATGTCATTTAGAAAGAAGACTAAGATCTTTAACAAAACTGTATGTTCTTGAAAGCTATAACTTTAGTTCTTCAACAACCCTCAGTTTAACATGAAGACTATTCTAACCTGTTTACTACAATAAATATTAATATTTAATATTAAAATAATTATACAATTCAATTCCCCCGAAATACAATACACAATCTCTCAAATCTTAAAACCCCTTTTCATAATAATTGTGATTTCTTGTCTTGTAATAATACAACAGTCTTGTGAAAATAACACATTTTCATACTTTTAGGACTTTTTTATTTTACCCTAACAATCTTATTTATATAACATTATTACTTTTTTCACAAATTATTTAGATTGTTTCCCTTAACACTACTTATTAGTCACAGTGTAATGTTACAACTGTTGTAACTTTAGATGTTTAGATTTTGCATGTTGAATTTCTACATTGAGTGAAACATATTCTCACATTTCTACTCCATGTATATTTGTTGGAGAAAAAAATCAACTGTTTACCAGAAACAGCTATTTACCAGACATTACTCATGCTTTCCTTAGCCCAGTGTTTACATGCTCTCTTTAACTTAGAGCCCAAGTGCCATCTGAAGGAACGAGGTGTGGCTGTGGGCTAGTCACATGCAGGATTCTGTGCTGCTGTTGGACTGCAGGCACTCAGCAGTCAGGAGGAACATTAAGATCCTGTAGAATTTAAGAAAGCACAAATACTGCAGCTTGATGACAGTGTCAGCAGAACACAGTGGACATTTATTATAGATGTGTACATATTTATATATTTCTGTGTCTTTTTGGTTCAAGCATTTGTATGTGAAGGGCCATGATGGAGATTTAGGAAATTAGGTTGCTGGAGATGATGATGTTGCTGCTAATGTGAATGGTATTAATATGTTTTATTAGAATACAGTGAGTAAGGAGTGGAAAAGATTTATATTGTAACATTTCTGAGTATTTTAGTTAAACAAGCCAATATATATCAAGTGTGTTTATGGTTGAATGTGACAGTTGCTACTGAATAACTTTACATGAGTAAAGGACTATCAAAATAATGAACACATTAAAAGGACATGTAGAATTTAGCACTGATTGGTCAATATAAAACTATTGTCCATTGCCACTATTGCTGTGTCTCAAAAAGCTGTTACTTCTGTACTTACATTTGCTGTTTTGAGTGGATCAGTGTGTCCCAATGCTAAGTATAGCAGAATACACTATGAGTAGTCGGATGGTGCACCTATACCGGTCTAAAAGTTGAGTATAGAATGCTGGACACTTCTCACCAGGGAAGTATTAAGAGAACTAGATACAGCAATGGAGGCGGGAGCCCGTTTGTTCCTATGAAAGTTGCTCTGTGGCACAAAAATGGCCTGAATTTCAAGAGGCAAAGTACCCTTAATCCGGACTCCAGAGGGATAATTGAGGATTTCTTTGGGTTCACGGTTGGATTTGTTAGGGACAATTCAGGCCGACAGACACATTTTTCAGCTTACAATTACAGATTTTCTACTTGAAACGTGGACCAGATCTGATAAGGAAATTCAGATCCAGACTTCCCCAGGGAGAATCTGGTTCAAGGAAGTCCCTACGTTGTTACTCCACACCATGGCTTTTATACTAGTATATCTGGCCGGTCAGATGCTGGTCGACGTCAAAGTGCCATTTTGGCAAACTTACAAAGCAGTAACTAAAGTCCAAATTGAGACACAGCAATAAATGTTCAATGAAAAAGATTATAGAAGTTGTTTTTGCTTATTCTGCTAGTGACCAGTTCTGTTGTTATTCCCTTAAACTGGGAGTTTTGAGAGAACAGGCCATAGCCGCTGTGAATATTTGGAGTGGTTTAAAAGATGTAGAAGGTACGAGCCACATTAAAGAGAAAAAGAGCAGTCACTTGTTATGCTTGCAATTTAAATTGCAGTTTCGTTCAGGGAAATTACTATTAGATGTTTTCCACCAATATTGCTGCAGCAGAGGTTGGTGGGAGCACAACAAGTTTAGCACAGGAGTCAAACGTAATACTGAAATAACAGGTAGATGTACATGTACAAGGAACCTGGCTTCACCTTTCTTAATTTAACAGTTTTAATTTTCTGCACATACCCAACCCTTAACCAAAGCTGCTATTTCTGCCTAAACATGTGCTATTATTAACAGAATCCAGAAGAATGTAAGGAACATATACTCACATTAGAGGTGACTATTTTTTAAATTTGTGCAACCATACATTTCGTAGATGAGGCCTATTCCTGTTCACAACATGTTTAACATGAATACTGTGATGAATCACTCCCTGTAAGAATAAATAACAACACGTATTGTTGCGTTATCCCCTTTGTATTGTGATGGAGATAGAGAAATATATTTTGATATGATAGATAATGTGGATTGTGCTTTGTATTCAAACTCTAATTTCAAGAAAGCATGTCAGTAGATTATTATTTCAGTTACGTGTACGCAGTAGAAACCTGTTTAAGTGACTATCTCAGTTTCAGAACTGTACCTTTGAGTCTACTTTCATGAGCTTTTAGCCAGAACAACAAAGACATACTGCATGTTTAATGGACACTATTTATTTAAGAGGGACTATGCTGAGCTTTGTAATATATGCTATATACAACATTTTGAAATACTGAAGAAGAATGGCAGTCAATCAATAATCTTGGCAAAATAACCTTACAGTAAGTGTTATATACTTAGACTCCATTTATTAATATTACTGTAATTCTCATGTGAATTCATATATCAAGTATTCTGTTGTAGTGTTTATCAAAATGAGAAGAGACTTTGGTACTATTTCACATTTCCTTTGTTGGTCATTTTTAAATCATGATTTCGCTAATAGAACTGTTTTGAATAAAGACAAAGAGGTTCGCCCTGTGAGAATAAACTCGTCCGTGTGCTAACATATGGTCGGAGCACCAGGAGGAACATTTTAGAACATCTTAGAGAATGAGCACTTTACTGGAAGACTGTCCCTCGCCTGGTCATTACTGCACTGTCCCACCACTGTTTACTGTGGAAACCACTTGCTTCATTTGCAAGTCCCTCTAGTAGTATAACACTTGCTATTACAGAAATGTATATTTAATGAAATTCTGATATTTATCGCTGAAGGCCTTCTAATGATGGGCTAGGCTAATGATGTGCTTAGCTAGCTGCATTATTAACTTCATCTTGTAAACCCTGGAACTCTCAAGCAGCCTTAACACTCAAATTTCTATTTCTCCCTTGATACTATTATATGAAATGATGATCTATGATATGTATATGAATAATGTGAGTCTTTAGTTTGGGAATGTGAGTAGCACTTTATTAGCTCACTTGCATACAAAGTGGTTGGTGTTGTTTGTTATGCTAGCAGCTACATAGCTAGCCCTCATACTACCTATTGTTACGACACAATGTTTATAGATTTAACCAGCGGATGAAAGTTTGTTATAAAAATATCAGACAGACTGTGAATGATCCACGGATAATATTTAAGTCATATTTGTAATAACCACATATTGTTGTCTTTTTCTTTTAGTGAATCTCTATTTATATGATATATACATATATATATATATAAATATATATTCAGATATTTTTGATTAGTGTATGTGAAAGAGACTTTTTTATATCTGCTTTTCAAATATGTTGCTAATTGCCATGGCAACCATCTGCACTAATTTGAGTGCATGGCCGGTAAATCCTTTAGCCAGCCAAGAAGGAACTCTCATACTAGCAGCCATGTCGGAAATATTCTGGATCCTGACAGCTATCAAATATAATGGACATTTTCTGCTGCAAGTGAATGAGAATAGCAGGTCAGGTCAGCCCACAGGAAGCACTCTGACGGCAGTTGATCATACTGTATATGTGAACAAATATATAATAGAGTGGTGCAGTGATGTATTTTTGTAGGCCAGCCCAGAAGTTAGCATCACAGGGGCTCACTCAACATAAAGTCATGTAAGTTTGCCTTTGGATTTTTGAATATTGCAGGAAGTAAGATACATGAAACACACATGTTTACGATACTGGAAGTTTTTTTCATCATAATAATCTCCACATATTAACACCACTTTATGATTTATGAGGTGTAATGCAATAGCCATATATAAAAGCTAACGTTAGGCTATAAAGAAAGTGTAAAGTAGTTTAATTTAGTCACTTGTTAGCAACAGCTGTCTTTATAACACAGAAGCAATTGGGGGTGTTTCTTACATATTCTATTCAGTAGTACAAAAGTTGACGATATCTTTAGCTAACAACTTTTGCTTTTAATAAAAAGGTAACAGACAGTGGTAAAACGCTAACACATTTCTGGAATGTAGGACTCACATTCACAAAAGTGGTGAAAAAATTTGGGAAAATACTCTCATTTAATTTTTTTCAAAGAGTAATATGTCATTCTCAATGCACAAAGACTAGGAGTCAGGTTGTGGATAGCTTAGCATAAAGACTGAAGGATGCTACTCTGGCTATGTCTAGGGTTGAAAAATACAATACTTTTTTGTATGAATTATACACTTGAACAGTTCTCTTGGAAAGAAAGCAGAAATGTGTATTTCCCACAGTGTGGCACTATGTCTTAACATGATCACAACAGTGGACTGTTACCATGCTACTGGAATCTAAAACAGCGCTCTGATATAATGTCATGGATTAAAAATGAATGGTTACAGAATATTACACGGAACTGATTCTTACTGGATACTTGAAGTATGTTTAGGTTTGATGTTGTCTTTTTTCTATAACATTTATTTTCAGTTGACATAAGCTATTAGCTGTTTCTAATGATGATGCTGTACATAGACATTTGTATCTTTATACCCATCAGTATATCCTGTGTGTTAGCCCAGCGTGATATTTTGGATGGTCACTCGGTGGAAAAATGCATTTTTCAGCCAATCCACCACAAGTCCATCAGTTCTCAAACTGATCAGATTTGTATCTCTTGTTCAGTCGGCAAGAAGAC